ATCCATCCCTCCCCACCCCTCAGTTTTTCCTGCTCCCTGGGGCACATTCTGCTTTACCTTCAGCCCCACCCACGGAGGTTCCTGCTGAGGGACATGTGGGGCGATGGTGGGAACATCTCTGGGGGGCAGGACGGGGTGAGGGACACTCAAGGCTCATCCCCAGAGAGGAAATACCACACTAGACAGCTGGAAATGTGGGACTGGGACTGACCCTGAGGATGTGCAGGGCACGGCAGAGAGCTGAGCCCCTGCGAGGGAGTGCAGAGGAGGAAACTGGAGTCCTGGAAATCTGCTGGACCTCTCCAGGCAAAAGACCTGCTCAAGGCCAGTCCATGAGGCTGCTGGGGGGGCTCCTCGCTGGGCTCAGAGCCCTGGTCTGGGTGGTGGGGCCAAAAGCTTCTCAAGACCAACCCATGAGCTCAAGAGTCACAAATCACGGGATCCAGGGATGGAGTCACATCCTGCCCCAGCAGGGGCACGTTTGACGCGGTGTGTGGCCAGATGGGGCCGGTGCCACGCTGCCGCTGCCCCCATCCATCAGGAGGGCTGACATCACTGCCTCCGGCCTAATCTCCCGTCCAGCAGCAGCTTCCCGTTTCCTTTCCAATCTCTGCGCTCGGAGCCGGGCAGGAAAAGCTCCCAGCTGGGCTCTCGTGCAGGGCCACAGCCCCCGCATGTCTGGCCCTCGTCCCACCGGGCCCTGGGCCACCCACCCCCCCAAAATCCCAGCCAGGGCCCCTGGGGGGCTCCGCGCTCCCCGCACCCTGCCTGCAACATCGGGATGCCGCTGGCCGGCCCCTTTCCTGTTTGTGCCGCAGGAAACCCACGGCGTTCCAAAAGAGATCCCCGCGCTGGGGCTACTGGCACCCCACGGTGCCCCCCAGTTCCACCCCGGCTCACACTGGGGGCCAGGAGCTCTCCTAGAGCCCGGTGCTGGATGAGCACAGTGACAGGGACGCTCCCTGTGCCGCCACCATCCCGGTTTCGGGCCGCATCCCGGGCTGTGGGCTCACCCAGGCTGGCACAGCTTTCCCTGCGGTTCTCAGTGCTCAGGCAGCAGCTCCTTACTCCCACTCAGGGCTGGCTAAAAATAACCCCGGCAGAGCCGCAGCCGGGATCCTGCAGGGAGACATCCGGGGAATGAGAAGGATGAGGCTCCTTCCCGCAGGGAAGGGTCTTCACCCCAGCACCGGGCTCTGGGTGATTTTCCAGAATCATCCAGGGGTGATTTTCCATGGTTCCCAGCTCTGCCAGAGTGGTTTTGGGGCAATTTGGGGCTGGGTTGTGTCTTTTTAGAGGTAAAGTAATCCCTGTCTGCTGCCAGAGGTGGGAGCAGCGTGGGGAGAGGGAGCACCCCTCGGTGGCTGTGTGCTGCCAGGTGCCAGCTGCACATCCCCTGTCCCCGTTTTCCACATTTTCCTTGCAGAGGTGGCTTCTGTGCAGCCAGCCCAGCTGCAAACCCCCAGATCCAGCTATCCTGACAGCCAGACCCTGCTGTCCCCTTCCCAGCACTCTGTGTGTGTGGGGTGTCCCCTGAGGCAGTGCAGGGGACATTTGTGACCTAACAGGGTGGCTAAAGGGGACAGCAAGCATCCATGCCTGAGATGTTTGGGGCGGAGAAAAGCTCCAGGTGTGGGGGAAGCACACACAGGGCAGCTCTGGAGGGAGGCCAGGCTGTCAGGGGGCCAGGGGGGTGAAGCTGGGTCAGAGGGACCCCAAAAGCTGCAGTCACATCCCCATTTGCACTGACCTTGCACAGATCAGGCTCAAACCCAGCTGGGGACAGAGCCCAGCAGCCACTTCGGAGGATGGGGGTGAGGAGTGGGTGGAAAATCCCTCATTTGTCAGCGTTTTCCCACGGCAGTGCCTGTCTAGACCAACTTCCCACTGTCCGGTGGAAGCCGCCCCCTACCCACACACGCTCCCGTGGGGGTGCAGAGCCTGGCATCCTTCTGCCCTGTCCTGCTGCCACTCCTGTCCCTGCTGAGGGTCACCCCAGGGTGCTGGGGTTGCGTGGATGGACCCTCCTGTCCCATGCAGAGCTGGGTGCCTCTGGGTGGGCTCCGTGCCAGCCCCCTCCCCATCCTGTGCCAGCCCCACGAGCTCTGCACACACACCAACCCCTTTATTGTTGTGCCAGGAACCACAGCAGCGGCAAACACTGGGACAGTGGGGAGGGACACAGGTGGCCCAAGACCCCAGTGCCAGGACAAACCCCACAAACCACCAGGGGCAGGGGTCCCCAGAGCCAGCTGGGCTAGAGCCAGCCTGCAGAGGTGAGCCTGGTGCTCAGGAGAGGGCCTGGGAGGGCTCCCTGAGATGGGGGGTCACACTAAACTTGAAGGGGCACGGAGGGCTGGAGGAGGTCCAGCCTGACCTCGGGGTTGGCAGAGCTGGACCTCAGGCCAGACGGGGTCAATCCAAACCTTGTGCTGCTGCAAAGCCTGGGCAGGACCCTCACAGACCCTGGGCCTTTGAGGGTCTTAGAGAGGCAGAGCCGTATCCTGGTGCCAGGAAAGCTCCTGCCCACCTCAGCCTGCCCAGCCTCTGCTGGGTAGAACACCCACTGCCAGCACTGTCTCCTCAGAGACATCTCCACGGGCACAGGGGCCACCAGGGTGCCCATCCTGCCTCTTTCCAGCACCTGTGGCACAGATCCCACGGGACAGTTCCCTGCTGCCTGGG